GTTTATAAATTATGATGTTCAATTCACAAAACTGCTACATATATTGTTCTTCAAAACATTAAATTTTTCATTTTTCCAGAAAAAGAAAAAAGCAATTCGTAAATCTAAAGAGAAGTAACCTTCCATCTCCAGAGACTGGTTGCGTTACCAGGACTGCATCTCAATATATATATTTAAAGTTAACATTTCAAAATTATTTTTTGATAAAATAAAAAATATAGATACATATCTATGACAAAATAAAAAAATTAAATTATTATAAAATACAAGTAAAAGTACAAGTACAAATCAAAAAAAAGTATGGATTTTAAAGTAAATTTCGAAGAGATAGAAAAGTATGTGTAAATTTTGTTAAAAAAATGTTAGAAAAATTATTCAAAATGCATTACAGTTTAATTTAAGTGCAGGAAAACGTTACAAAATCCTACTGAAAGTGATCATTAAAAATATCTAGAAACCAAATCAGAAATCAAAATTCAATGTTTGCATATAAAAAAGAGTTTTAAATTATGTTAATTTTAAAACTATTAATTCTTTAGAGATTTCGTTTTCACTTTCGAAATTTGTAGAAAACGCATTCATTTGTTGTTCAAATTTGATAACATTATAATTTTTGCTTAAAGAAATAAGTAAAATAAAATATACAGATAAATCCCTTAAAATCCAATAAAGTGAAAATTATATTTCTTTTAATGACTGCTTTTTTACTTATTAATTTTTCAATAATCAGAAATTGAACACAAAAGTTACATTTTTAATGAATTAAATGTATTTACAGTAAAATTCGTAAAAGGAGAAAAAGTAATTTTTATTCAAAAAACACAGAAATAATAGAACACAAAAATTTTTAATGATAATTATATTTTAATTAAATGAAGCATAATTTTTATATTTTAAAACGTAAATGCCAAAAAATTTAAATTTTGTGCAAAAAATGTTTTATTTATTAACATCAAATAAATTGAAATTATTTAGAAAAACAAAGACGAAGTTGACGAAAATGATGTTGGTCAAAAAAAAATGGATTAAGGCATTTTTCTAATCGAGAACAATCATATTTCTTAATATTACATACCTTGTTGTTGTTTTTAAAAAGATTAAGTCTCCAAAGTACTTCACTCCCGTTCTTTGTCTCAAACCTAACTAAACTACATAATAAGACTACCTAATATGAACTACATAATAAGTATACTTATACTTATTGATTTAGGGTTTCGTGTAAAAAAAGAAAAGAAAAAAAATTTTTTTTTATTTTTAATGGGTGCGGCATAGGTTAAAATACATCAAAGATACATAGAATTTGTTACTTAAACAACACTATTTTCAATGGAAAAAAAACCCTGCTCCCCTAGAAAAAGAAAAGTGATACCACCACCAATCCGAAATGATAAGGCCCTCGATAGTTCACTCCCCTCTCCATTGCTACTCACTCCCCCTCCCCTACTTAACGAATGTGCTAATTCAAAAACGTTATATGTAACAGGAGGTTCCGTAAATGTTCCGATAAACTCCAACGTGAGTTAGAGCACATCATCAGGATTAAAACTGTACATTAGCTCATGTCTGGAAATATCAACATATGCGGCTAGGGGCAGTTCAGAAGAAACTGTTCATAACAAAAAAGTACACTTAGAGACATAGGACATTTGCAGGCATGGGCTTCTATGCAGTTTTAATAGTGATGATGTGCCCTAACTGTCCTACAAGTTTGTCGCAACATTTACTCAACCCCCGGTAATATATAACGTTTTTAAATTTGTACATTTCAACAAAAAAATTAATTAAAAAGGTCATTTTGGGAGGAAAGAAACTGTGGCTTGGAGAGTGCAACCGATTGCAGATTTGAAATCAGTGATTTCAAATAAATTATCTATGATTCATTTTTAAAAAAAATCTGATATAATAAGAAAAAACTTCCCCTATTTTTTTCTATAAGAAAAACATTTCCCAGACTTATTGGTTAATGTAATAAGTTTTATAAAAACGCAAATGATCTACGTTATTAATTAATCATTTTGGTTTATATATGTTTAAAAACCAGTTACTGCACGCAATTACTGTGTTTGTCACATATACGAAACGTAATTGATCAGAAATCAATTTTTGTGAATCGCCTTTGAAGAATCTTTAACTAAAAATTATTCTATCAAAATTCATTCCGCGGTATTTCATTCAATGAATCATCAAATGTCCGAAGAGTCTGTACTGGTCTAATACAGGTACATAAACATGCAGTATTATTTGATGGGCACATGTGCACAACAACCAATCTTTTCTATAATTTTTATATCTTATAACCGTCGTTGAACAGTTGATCCAACTCTGAGTTTGAAACTACCAATGTTCAACTCCGTATCCTTATAATTTTGATCCCAATCCAGAAGACAAGGGAGCTCCTGGATCAGTACCTCCAGAGGTATTGATTTGTAATCGGAACATGGAGGACTTTGAGACTCGACAGATTTAACGTGTATCAGACACCATTTATTACACGGGGAGTCTTGATCCTCTGGAGATCGAACCCACGATCATTTCGACATTGACCCAGTGCCCTACCAACCAGGCTGTCTCAGCCCAAGAACCAATCTTTAACGTATATGACCTCCGCACTCTAATACGGCTTAAAAACGAAATGTAGAGATGGAGGGTGACACGCCAGTGGCCTTGGCCTATCTCCACATTCTAGTCCAGTGGCCACACCTGCTATAGCGAACAACTATTTCGGGCAGCGGTGAACTGCACTCAGTAATTACCTCAATTGTACCCCCACCCCTCAATTCTAACAGTATGCGGATTGTGCTTCTCGTTAGTTGCACTTCTTGGTAGCTTTCTCGTCTCATTCACATGTATGTGAGGGATGCAATTCGTGAAAATTTAAGCATTATCTTGGCGATAAACTTCTACTTGTCCAAGAAATGTTAAGCCGAGATTAAATTTGAGAAACTGCATTCAGGATTATAAAATACTTCTAGAATATAATGCATTTCGAATATAATCGTGATGTGATTTAAATCATTTGATTTTTTTTTTTTTTTTTTTTTTTTTTATNGGCATGAGTCCCCGTACAATGCTTTTTTTTTTTTTTTTAATATAATTTAAGAAACCACTCATTCAAATGAGCTGTGATTTTTCTTTAAAAAAACAGTCACTTAAACATAATTTTCATAACATTTAATTTAAACAAACTTAGTAAAAGAAATTATTTAAGTTTAAAATACTTAAATATAATAAAATTAATAAATACATTATTTTAAAGAATGTTTATTAATGAGTGATTTCTTTTACTATGAAATAATAAAAGGCACTTGCATTGAAATTACCATATCATCCCTTTCATTATTTCATTAAAAATGTATTGACTTAAATCAATTATGATTTTTTTTTTAAATAAATCAATAATTTAAGCAAACTGATTAAAAAAATTATAGAATGAAAAAAATATAATTTAAGCATAAAATATTTTTATACAATAGAATTAATAAATATTTTCTTTCGGAGGCGATTTTTTCAATCTAATTTTATTGATAATGAGGATTTTTAATTAAGAAATATTGAAGGGAATATGCATGTGAATTATTAAGTTTCAAACTAGACTATACGTGAATAAGAGTGATATGAAACTTTAAAATTTTAATTTTCCATTGAATATATTTAAAATAATTTTCTGGCTAAAGACATTTTTCAATTTGCCCTTTTTTTGTAATTAAAATGCAGTTCTTTTATATCTTATTAAATATGCAATTAGCATGACCTGCTCAATCTAGAGTAGAGCTTTTTTCAGAAATGTTTTCATATATATATATATATATTTTTTTTTTTTATAGAAAATATAAATTTAACATGTTTTTATAATCAAACATGAGAAAATTAAGCGCCCTTATCAGCAAAGATTCTTTTCCCCTTTGCATTATAGAAATGACCAATTTTTACCAAATGTATTTACACTAACATTGCTTTTCATAATCAATTATACGTTTTTTAACTTATATTTCAGCGTTTCTTTTTTTTTAAAATTTTGTACCTTAAATGTTTTTTTGTTTTAAATCTTGATTATGGGGTGTTTGGTATTTACATTAAATATTTTGTAAAATTTTCACAAATAGTTATTTATTTTTAGAAGGTTAGGTTTACTAAGGTTTGAGAGTAGTTTCGAAGATTTGACGGAGTATTTTTTAAAGTTAGGTAAATATTGCGGTTTCTTAATGTCTTAGAAAAGGAGTGCTTTTTGAGGTTTATTAAGGAATGAAGTTTTTTTTAGGTTTAATAAAGGAAGTGGTTTTTAATGTTCGATAAAGAATTCTTTTTTTCAGATGTGCGAATGAATATGACACTCACGTTTGACATATAAAGCAATCTTATTACTGTTTGGTCAGGCTGTTAGCTTGACTAAGGTATGAGAGCAGATGAGGACGAAAAGGTTTTTTAGTATATTTTATTGTTGCAAATATACACATAACAACAAGGAAGATTTAACAGAAGTAAAAACGACTTGTATATACATTGATTTATATTACATAACAAGAAAAATATAAATTAATACTTTTGGAGCTAATTATACAATTTGACAGACTAATGTAATTTGTAAAATAATTCATAAATGTATAGTACAATTATACAAACAAAATAATTATAAATGAAAATAATTTATTTCTGTAAATTCAGTTAATTTATTTTAAAAAAATTTTTTTTCCTAAGGCACCGTTATGTTATTTAAAAATAACGTGCCTCAGAGAAAAATTTCAATTAATAATTNAATTGGATACACCGGAAATTTTCTAAATTTCTTCCGGTTTAAGGACGCTTGTTATTGTTTACATTAGACCACCCATCCATTTCCTTGTAAGGAATGAGAATAGCTCTTTAGTCCCTTTTTTAAAACTATAAGGTAAACTTTTCATTCTTTAAATTCGCATCCGCGATTACTTTGTGCGCAAAGAGAATACCTCTTTAGTACCTTTTTTTTAAGAAACCTAAGCTGTAAGCTGATTTCCCTACTTATATAATGATCGAATTAATTGTAATCGTAAAAGAAATCGAGACTAATTGTTTGTTGTCTGCTGAAGTTGAACTTTCTGCATTTGTAAATATTTCTTCGGATGCTCTATTAAAGTTCTGTAAATGTATTTTTTTTTACGCTGAAGTATAGAATTCTACACAGAAAAAGGGATTAAAATATACCTTACCACTATGGCTATAGGAGCGACTGGTATTCAGTGGTTAGATTTACTCGAATCAGAGTTTGATAAATCATTTGTTGATTTAGATATGCTGATTGGCGAGGTTGACGAAGATCAAGGGGATATAGTTTATGCAGCTCGACAAAAACTAACTGCTCTTAGTACAGCTTTCGCGCAATTAACTCATAAATGCCAAGTTGTATTTGAAAACAGCATTAAAATTGAGGTAGGTCGAATGTTTCAACCTTAAACATTGTATGGATGATTATTTTCTTTCATTTTTTTCTGTTAAAAATCATTTTGCTAATATGCATTCTCTTTGTTCCTTTCCTTACACATAATTTTACTCACAATGCACAAAAAATAAAAAAAATACCTCTCTGAATAATTTTTGATTTGATGATCGGATCTTCACATTCCAGCACTTGATGGTGCGAAAGCTGGCTTCAATAATACTATTTAATAAATGTAGATGGTATTTTAAGTTATGAAATCAGACAAAGACGTATTGTCTGGAAATAAACATATCTTTATATATAGCTGCTACTGCGAAATATGGTCCCAATAGCTTGGGCCAGATGAACAATCCAAGTTTTAACCACTAATGTTAATTTTACTTTTTACGTATTTCATCCTATCTCGAGAACTCTAAACAAATTGCAAAATTTTTGCCCACAATGATAAAATTTATTTAATCAAAGAAAATACTTTGTAAAAATTATTTTTAATAATTATTTGGGACTACTATTTTCATATCGTGATCTGTCACGCCAACTTCAATCGCCAAGGTGCAAAATGGATTTTAAACTAGTAAATGTTTTTCAAAAAAACTTGTAGATGTTTGCTCAGGAATGGCTATGAGCTATACCTTTCGAGTTTGGCCAATTTCTGTGATGTTTTAAGTTTCTTGCGTGCTGCTGCCAGGAAATTGTGAAGACTTGGAAATTATTTTGCGACAGTTCATGTTACATAAATCTTCCCAATTATTTACTGTTATTTAATATTGTAATAATAGTTTTAAAAAATTTGAATTGTAAAGCATAAATTTTTTTTGCATCATTAGAAAATTTAATTATGTTGCACAATTCAAAGTTCTTGAAAAATACGTTTAGTAGCTCCCAAGAAGAAAAGTCGTATTTTAAACTCAATTTCAGAATAATTATTTGACCGAGTTGATATTTAAGCCTAGTGATTATTTTGAATATGGAAATCATCCTAAAATGATAGTATTTTAACTACATTAATTGTATTTTCTTTTTGTCACTTTTTAGTTAGTTTCTTTCCTACTTGTTTTGTTTGGTAAATTTGTATTTCAACACAACAATGGGTAAAATAAATTAAATATAATTAATGATTACTTAATCTGCATTAAGTGGAATTTTTGTGTAAATTGGTAATTAGCAAGTTAGTGAAGGAAGTCAAATAATTCTTAACAATTTAATCTTTTTGTATACAGGATACAGAGCATTTTAAAAAGGTGCTTATTTTTAATTTTCTTTTTTAAAGCACTTTAAGGTGCTTTTTCCATTGGAGTTTTGTAAAAAGGGCCCAATTTTCTGTGATTCATTACACAAAAAGCACAATTTTCTTACTGTTCTGTTCTACATTTTTACTACTGTTCATTCAACCAATATTCATTTCAGCTTACCATTGTTGTCTGTATGTTACAAAAGTCACAATAATTTTATACAGCAGATGAATTACTCATGGGTCCCCATTCTTGTTAACTGAGCTGGATTCAGTTAAAAGGATTCTTTTAACCACGCATGTAACTTTACTGCATTTTGTGAGAAGTTAAAAAAAAAAACATTTTAGAGAATATTTAACTTTGTGTGCATATTCTATGATTTTTTTAGAAATGTGATTTTTTTAAGGTGCTTCAAAAATACTTAAAAGATGCTTATTTTTTAATAGGAGAAATTTTGGTTACGCACCTATGTGTAGATATTTCTGTATTTTGGACATTAAAAGTATTACTGTTTAAAAGCTTGGAATATAAACAAAGAAAAATATTCCACACTATCTACCAATAAGTATTCGGACCCGTGTGATTGAAAAGAAAAACAAACTTTATGCCAATAGTTGGTAACTTTATATTCAATAGTTGGTACATCCTCCACGAGAGACAATTACAGCGTGAACCCTCCGGGGCATACTTTCCACAAGTCCTTGTGTGACGGCTAGTGGTATTTTCTTCCACTTGGTTTGGAGAAGGCATAAAAGTTCTTGCACCGATTTTGGACGGGGTACACTCCTTAATTCGGCAATCCAACTCATCCCAGAGGTTCTTGATAGGGTTCAGGTCTGGACACTGGGCAGGCCAGTTCATTCGATTAACCCCATTGGCACCATACCAAGCCTTGGTGACCCTCGCAACATGACAGCTGGCATTATAGTCCTGGAATTAATAGGGGTCCACCCTGTGAAACTGTCACAACGTAGGAAGTATACTGTCATCCAAAATAGTGCAGTAGGCATCATCGTTGAGCTTACCATAAATGTATACTGGCGGAAGGCGTGACGCATCTCAGGACTGCAGATATAGTCATTTGTCTAGGTGTCCAAATACTTATTGGTAGATAGTGTGTAAGTTAAATTTTTTTATTGTCAAGTTTTTCTTATAGTTATGTCTACTTTCAGCATATGGATTATATTAGGTATGCTAGCAAAGTTAAATGGTGTTTAATACATTTAACAAAGTTTTTTGAACCTCTTTCTTCAAGGAAAATAAAAAAGCCACAGTTTCAGTGCCTTACATTTGAAGCAATGCAATGATTTTAAACTATAGATATAATCTTGCTGTAAAGAATTATCTTGGCTTTAGAAGGGACAAATAACTAAAATATTTTAAAAGTTATTAAATTTTTTTAAAATCACCAATTTGGTGCCATATATCCACATCCCATATATGGAAGAAAATTATCAAAATTATTGCCTGAATCCCATTTTTTGCAAATTTTTCTGGACCCAGATAATATGGCATTGAAATAAAAATGTAAATATTAAAAAAAAATTGGACTTCAGATGTTTTTCATTTTCTCAAAACTGTGTCTTTTCACCATTTTAATGTTTTGTGCCATTTTCAGAAGAAAATATAGAGGGCGCTGGCTAAATTTTACCTAACAATCATGAGTAACTGTTGCAAACTCACTTCAGCTATGAAATTAGCATACTATTCTCAAGAAAGCACCAGTTCGTGTGACTGCAGAGCCTTCGAAAAACAGCCTCAAGTAAACGAGTTATGGTTGTTCTTCAATATTTCCATATAAGTATCCCTCAAACTTGGTGTAATTTGTAAACAATTTTCAAGAAATCAATATAACTATAGTTTTTAAGGAAATTCCAATAAAACAGCAACTTTTTTTTAACTACTAGGAGGCTTATTACACTATCGCTACACTTTCCAACTCCTGTACTCAATCATAATAGTTTTGTTTCTTCTTAAATCTTTTGTTTTATCTCTTGTTTTTAAAAAACTTGTTACTCTTTTAGCACATTTTGTTAATATTTAATTTTACTTATTAAAATTTATAATTGTAACTTTCTATCATATAACTGTTAAAATTAGAAATATATAGTTTTAATTTCTTTTGAGCAGAGTTTGCGAGGTTTAGGACAGATTGAATTAATCCATGGTTAAAGCCAGGGTTTAAACCTTCCTGTCCAAAACTTCTTTGTCTTAAACTGTCCAAAATCCTCTTATTTAAATTATGTCACTATTTAAAAATATATTCTGACAAACAAAAGGTTAATTTTTGAACAAGAAGAAAACCAGTTTTTGTTTTATCAAAAAAGTTTATTATTATTTTTTAATATTGCATTTATTTATCCTTATGCAAAAACGTAATTTATCAGTATTAAAAACATATTTATTCATATCTAAGGGATAAGATATTTACTTTCGTTGTTCAATGAATTGTGGTGTTTCAAAAGTTATAAATCTTTTCTTATTATATTATAGTATTTTCTTTTAATAAGTTAAAGCAAAATTGTATAAAAAATATCAAATATTTATTAATATATGAAGAATTAGGATTTTTAGAAATTTAGAAGAATAGAACACACATAGAATTTTTACCAATGTTAAATGTTTTGAACACTTTTATACAGTTTAGGACAGTAAAACCCACGTGTCATGTCCAAAACCAGTTTAGGATGTCCCAAACCCCTGCTTTTGAGCCGTTTATATTTTAAATTTTGATTAAAATATGAACTTTTTATTTAACAGTATCAAATCTCAGTCACTTTTAGTGTTTTATTAAAATGAAAAAAATTTTTTTTTAATTTTTTTTGTAACTTTTGACATGAAGTCAAGTGCGAGCATGTAAAATAAAGATTACGAGAGAGAAAAAAAGAATGTATAAATAGGAATTATCTAATGCAAATAAAAGTAAAAGAAATTCCAAAAAAAGCACATAAAGTGGTAATAACTTTTGACCAAATTGAAATGAGAATGCAAAAAAAAAAAAAAAATCTCTTATAAGTTAATAAATGAGAATGATTCTTTCAGCGCCTCTGTAATTCCGGTTTCTTGACTTGCTAAGTGGTTCACATAGTATTTTTTATTACGAGTTTTAACAGTTCTCGAACGAATTAACAAAAGTTAAGTTTTTTATTTCATAATATTCTTTACATTTTTTTACATAATTACGAAGTTAATTTATTTTTGGGCAACAAACAAAATGTAAGGAAAAAAAAGTGTGAAAATATAACCAATAAAAATACTTTAAATTGCAATAACTTTCAAACAAACTGAAGTTCGGAGGGAATATAAGTTTATCAATAAACCAATCTTTTTTAGTAAAAGAATTTAGGGATGTTAGGATATACAATATAAATACTGAAATGATATTTGAGAGGTTTTCAGAAAAAGCTCACTAAAAATAAATTTAAGAAACATTGTTATATTTAAGTTAAGATTTATTAATAAACTTGTAATGGCATTAATTTGAAAATCACATCAGAAGAAAACACATAAATCATAGTTTCTAAACCTTTTTTGTCCCATCGTCCATTTTGCAAGACGAAGTTTTTTCAACGCCCCTTTAAAAAAACTTTTAAGTTTTCTATACGGTGCTCTTTTCTATGTGCCTATTTGATATAACTTTAAAAAAAAAAATTCTTGATTTTTAGTTAAAGTGTATAAGCTAGAGGCAATTTGTCTTGGTATTTTAAAGAAATTAATATAACTGTTATAGCTTTTAAAGAAATTCAAATGAAACAAAT